TAAGGAAATCAGTGAAAGCAATCATTGATGTAGGGACAATTGCATAGTGGGTGTGAAGCTGGTAGATTGCTCACAATGCTTAGTTAGCTGGTACAAGAAGTCTTTGCATGGTGTGTGTCAGCACAAACATGGGTATAACTGAAGCCTATTTCACTTGGGAAGCTGGTGTAACTTCACTGGGAGATCTCAGCTTTTGGCTGAGCAGCTTTCGAGCACTGAGCATGGAGGGAATCAATTGCTGGTTAGAGAGAGGGTAAGGGACAGAGTTTGCAGGATGCAGTGGTTAAACCACACCATGCAATGCAAGCTAGAGATTGATCAAGGCAATTTCCAAAATCTAAAATTCCAGCCAAATCTGAATAAGATTTTAAGAAATTTTTAAAAATTTACATCTATCCCAGAATACTTAAGGTTTGAAAAAATCTCTGGAGATCATCTAGTCCAACCCCCTTGCTCAAAGCAGTTAACTAGAGAAGGTTCTTCAGGGACTTTTTCAATCAAATGTTTAATATCACCAAAGATGGAGACCATACAAGCTCTATGAACAACCTGTTTTAATGTCTGAGATGCTTAGAGATAACCATTCTCATCACAGAAATTTGGTTTTATGATTAAAAGGAGTTTCATGTATTTGTGCCTTCTTTCTCTTGTTCCTTCACTGTGCACCACCAAGAAGTCTGTCTCCATGTTCTTTGCACCCTTCCTTCAGATACACACGGATGAGTTCCCACCAGAGCCTCCTCTCCTCCAGGCTGAACAGTCCCAGCTCTCTCAGCCTTTCCTCATACTAAAGATGCTTCATTCCATTAGTCATCTTAGTGGCCCTTCTCTAGACTCCAGTATGTCCCTGCTGTACTGGGGACACCATGACTGGGCCCAGCACTGCAGCTGTGGCCTCACTGGTGCTGCACAGAAGGAAAGGATCACTTTGGTCTTCCTCCTGGCAGTGCTTTTCCTAATGCAGCCCAAGAGGCTTTTGGCCACCTGTGCAGCAAGCGGCACATTGCTGGTTCAACTTATGTCAGCTGGCATCCCCAGGTCCTTTTCTGCCAAGCTCCTTTCCAGCCAGTTGGCCCCCAGCATGTACTGGTGCATGGGGTTATTCCTCTCGAGGTGCAGGACTTCACATTTCCCTTTGCTGTGCTTCTTGAGATCCCTCTTGGCCCAGTTCTCCAGCCTGTTCGGGTCCCTCTGAGTGGCAGCACAACCATCTGATGTACCAGGCACTCCACCCAGTTTTATATCATCTGTAAACTTGCTGAGGGCACACTCTGAGGATGAGTGGTCCCCAGCTGCATTTTGTGTGGCCAATCTCAAACCTCTGAGCTCTGCAGTTCTGCCAAATTTAAGTGCAGCTCCAGATCCATCCCAATAGCCCATGCTTCATCAGTTTGTCTGTCAGGGTGTAATGGGAGACAATCAAAAGCCTTACTTAAGATAAACAGTGTACGCTGCTCTCCCTTTATCCACCAACTAGTCATCACATCATATACCCAGCACTCTTTCCTGTGACAGATTTCCCTGCTGCATGTAATGGAGAACTTCATAAGCTTGCTTTATTAAGACTTATTAGGCCACTTGATACAGGATTGCTTCTAACTGCTATGAAATGAACAGCTCCACCTGCCTTTGTAATGATCTACAAGTGACACACAACATTGAGCTTATTTAACAGCACATACCAGATGGTTTATGCAAGGTTGAATATGACAGGAAGATTTTTGTCCAGATTGGGGGTGGGACTGTTGTTTTACTTTGAAAAAGAGGAAAGAAATGCAGACAAATGGGGTCTGCATTGCCACTTGTGTTGCTGAAATTGAACTAGAGGCTGCTTTTACAGGTCAGCAGCTAGGAGGAGCAAATGTGGTCAATGAACACTCAGTGGGTAAAGTGCTTAACACTGTTAACTAATTCTGAATTGCACTGAAATATAGGCTTGGTATGTTTGGATATTCAGGTAAGTTTCATCTCTAGACAAATTTAAATTAGCCAGACCAAAACCTGAGACTGGATACCAGCACAAAGCCCCTTCCGGGATTTTCAAATTAAACAAAATTTTTTTAAAAAAGGACTTTGAATGAATATGACATAATTGAATACTTTTTCATTGCATATTTTTTTTCATTAGTGAGGCAGAAATGTTCAGAACACACTGCTTTTACCTTAGTAATCACTTCAGCAAATACTAGCTTACCTAGACCAAGTTAATAGGTTTTGATTATATTTCTATCCTAAAGCATTGTTACTGCAAACAAGATTTAACTATGTACCTGCATTTAAAAGAGGTGCTGAGGGAGTTCCATCAATAAAAAGCACGGGATAGAAAGGATTTAAGTGAGAAAGTTATAACAGTTGAGACATAGCAGAGAGATCACAAAAGAAATATTTGCTATAATTGCCAAAGCTCAGAAAATGAATAAAATTTAACTCTTCGATTTGATGACCTAGAAAATAGAGAGAAGAAATAATGTGCATATGAAAAGGATTAAAGAAGAATCCAAGAAAGGAGGCTTAGTGGGTTTAACTGGGTGGATTTAAAAATTGTTTAAAGAATGATAACAGTAAAAAGAAATTCAAACTGGCTATACCAGGAAACAGATCTACACATTTTTCTGTGAAACTTCCCTTGTATTATTTCAATAAAAGAAAGGTTCAGAAGAAAGTAACAGAAAATGAGCTAACTGTGAATGATCTGAAAATAGCATACATACATGCACGCACACACATTCTTTTGGCTTTTAAAGAAGAATATACAGAGAAAAGCGGGTACAATAATAACAAGGTTTTCATTACTTCTGAGGTATTGAACTTGGCTGCCAAAGAAAGAGGACTAGATGTCTAATAATTAGAGATAAAGTAGAAGCTAGCAGAGATAATGGCATGTGTTATGTAAACCAGGTAGCGTTACACACGGAGATCTTTTTACTGCTATCATAATGCCTGTCAGAATCAAAAAAGGAACTGGAAGAGGGTATTTTTCTAGAAGAGAGTGGCATAACAAAGCTTATCATAAAAATCAGAAAGACAAAGAAATTTAAAATATCCACAAACTTCTTATGTAGCAAACATTAAAAAGTTACGTTAGCAAGCAATTAGTAAAAGGAACTTCAAGCTAGTAAGAGATTTATATATATTTACATATAAATATATATAGAGGATGAATTTATTTGGGGAGTGCTTTTATTGTGAAGTACACAATAAAGGAACAAAGGAAGAAGTTGGGTCAGAGCTGTATTTGTTGTGTTTTTCTATTATTCACAGAGGTAACAACTACCCTCCTACAGCAGTTTTTAGATAAATTTCAAAACGCACTCAGAGATAGTGAACAAAGTCAGTCACAAACAACCCACAAAAGGCCTGTCTTTGTTGTTATTACATGTCTGGAGATTTTCTGATACAGGCTGTGATCACATTACTCATTGCAATAGCAGGAGGCACGCGAGGGAGCTGTTCTGGTTCACCTGGCCAATGGGAACCAAACCTGGAAGTGGATGCATTTTTGGTGAGACCTTGCCAGGAGGCAGCCTGGGGAAGTCACTGCAAGTGACCCCTTTGTGCCACTCCAACAAAGCCATCTGGCCTGTGGGACCCATGTGTGTGAAGCTCTGCTGCAGCCAGTGTGAAAATGTCCATCTTTTGGCCTTCCAGAGAACAGGAGGCAAGCGGGAGGTGAGACAGCACTTCTGCCCTGCCAGGGAACCAGTAACGTGAGCAATCCAACCTTCACTGCCTCACCAGAGTGACCCAGGCACAGGACAGGAGTTTGTGGCTGCTGCTACAGTGTCTGAGACCCCAGTTTTTTACTTTGGAAAACTTTCAATGTCTCCATTTTGGACCTGCAAATCTGAGCTGAGAGAGAAGGTATTACAATGATGCTGACACCCAAAGAGTCAGAAATAGCCAACGATCCACCCAGAGAGTTACAGAGAATGTGAAGGGGGTTGGGAAACAGAGTCTTGCCTTATCAGTGAAACAGGCATCATAGCTTTAAAGGAGTGATCCTGAACAGAGGATCACCTGGGCTTTTATCCAATAGTCTGGGGTCATCCTGTGAGTGTTCAGCTCCTGCTGCGTCACCTGTCTATTGTCACTTGCTGTGTCTCTTGTCACCTGTCTGGCCACAGGTCCCGTGCCCTTTATAATGCAAGGAATCAATGCCAGTTCCCAGCCACCATGGAGACTCAACCACAGTTGACCACCAGCTCAAAAGAAGAGAAAGATTGAGCATTAGTACTTAATAGCATGAGAAGCAAGAAAATCATTAAACCAACAGAAGGCTAAATACTCCAATGAATTGTGATTTGTTTGCTAAAACGTGTATTTAGTGTAATTTAAATGGACTGCTTATGGTGGTGGTGGAGTCACTGACCCTTGGAGATGTTTAAGGAAAGACTGGATGTGACATTTAGTGCCATGATCTAGTTGACCTGGTGGTGTTCAGTCACAGGTTGGACGCGATGATCTCAGAAGTCTTTTCTCAGAAGTTAATAAATTCTGTGATTTTGTAAATTTTTGAGAATCCGAGTTGATTTGTGCAACACTTCCACTCTGCACCCTGCATAGAACAAAAACCATCTCCTGTCTAAACCGGGCCCGTGTCTGTGTTTAGCGTCCCTACATTGGCAACAAGCGCAGGTCACCCCGAGTAACTTCTGCCAGCTGTGCCCTGGGCGTGTACCAGCCGCCACCACGCTGTCCATAAACGTGGGCCGGGCCTGGCCCCGGAGGAGAGCTCTCCACCAGGCACCCACCGTCCTGCAGGCCAGCGCCCCGGCAGGAGCCTGCACGGGCACTGCCATGCCCGGGATGTGGGCACGCCATCCCTGGGATGCTGGGCATGCCATCCCTGGGATGTGGGTACGCCATCCCCGGGATCTGGGCACTGTCATCCTCGGGTTCTGGGCACTACCATTCCTGGGATCTGGGCCCCCCATCCCGGCCAGACAGCGGCCGCGCACGCGCCCGCGCGCGCAGGTGCTCGCGCGTGCGCCTCGGGCGGCTGAGGCAGGCCGGGGCCCTGCGGAGGCGCTGGCGGGTCCCGACCGAGTCCCCCGGGCAGCGCCCGGTGCCCCCGCCGGCCGTAGTGCTCGTCCCTGGGGGTGCCGCCTGGCCGGGCGGGGGCGAAGGGCCGGACTGTGCGGTAAGTCGGGCGGGAGGCTTTGGAAAGCGTCCGGAGACTGACAATCCCCGTGCCGCCTCCCGGCAGCTTTTCCGTGCTCGGGAGAGAGGCGTGATTGCCGGGTGTGGCTGGGACAGCGTTTACTCCGCCGGTGTTGCTTGTCTGGGGGGTTTCCCTGGGATGTGTTGTACCACGGCTCACCTGGAAACCTAACTGCGCTGAGAACTCAGCTCTCGTAACTTCGTTCTTGTTTCTCTTTGATAGCGATTTCTTTGCGTCAAAATTTCACCGGGGTGAAAGTGCACCAGTTGTGATTGGTAAGTTTCTGTTAATCAGAATTATGTCTAACAATAGCTGTTGTTCACACACTCCTGAAGGGAGGATTGAGTGAGGTGGGGGTCCATCTCTTCTACCGTGTCTGCAGTGAAAGGACGAGAGGAAATGGCCTTAAGCTGAGACGGGGGAGATGCAGATTCGATATTAGAAAAAGAAAATTCACTGTTAGGATGGCCATGCACTGGAATAGGTTAGCCAGGAAGGTGATGGAGTCACCAGCCTTGGACGAGTTTAGGAGGGGTCTGGATCTGGCACTGGTTGATGTAGATTAGGGAGTACAGGGGCAGTGCAGGGTTTGCTGGTGGACTTGATGATCTTAAAGGTCTCTTCCAACCTCAGTGATTCTGGGATTCTTAGTGAGTCTGTACCTGTGTGCTAACTGTTCTAGAGATTTGCCAGGGCAGACAGAACATGGATTTAGATGTCAGAGAGCAGAATGTTCATAGCTTGAATACAGAGCTTCTCTTCACTGTTCTTAGTGATTGCAAATACACCCGCTCTGCACCCTAGCAATTAAACCAGTCTTGAGATGGGAAAGAGGATGGCAGAGGCAGTGTGAGATGGCAGAGGCTGTGTGAGATGGCAGAGCCAGTGTGGTGCCATATCTGATGTAGCCAACCATGCTTCTCTAATCTTGACTGAGCTAAGAGCTGTGAGAGTACAGCTGTCTCACTTCTGCACGTGGCTGGCACTAATGTGTGGATCCTGTACTGCTTAAAATCTTTCTGTACAGCAAAGACCAGAATTCTGGAGTAAACAACTGGGGAATAAAGACAAGAGCCCAAGTATGGGTTTTCAGACACTGCTGTGATACTCTTCTACCTCACAGCAGAGAGGCAGAGAGGAGCTCTTGTGCAAGTTAAAGGCTACTTGGGAAATGGTGACAGTAGTGAGGGACAAGATCTGTGTGTACCAGTTATTATGCTGTCCCCGTTGACATGCAGTCTTCCCTCTATCTGTTTCCTGCTGGGACTGGAGAGTAAAAATTACAGAATCACAGAATATGCTGAGTTGGAAGGGACTCACAAGGACCATGAAGTCCAGCTCCTGGCCCTGCACAGGACCATTGCCAACTGTATCAGACATAAGGCCTACAGAGAAAACCTTCCACTTAAGGTGAAAATTCTGGCTCCCAGTAGCTGGAGGAATAGGGAATAGTAGTCTATCTTGCTTTTTTCAGTGAGAACTGACTGTATAGTTTTTTTTCTAAACAGACAGCTGCAGTGGAATTCCTTACTGTTTTTTTAACCACATTGTAATAGAGGGAAGAGTGAGGAGCATACAGAACAAAATTCAGTCACAGTGAAAACAAGTAATATATTAATGGTAGTTGGAAATATTAAAAACACTGATAGTCTCAGGCTCCTGATCTGTTCCTGAGGGTTTTATTATTATGCATCATTTAGTGAAAGAGTTGGTGCAGTTCTCCTTTTTTATATTTTTTGTCTCCAGTTTTATGTTGGGTGTGCAACAATGACAGACACTGCCAGAATGTGCTGGCTCTCAAAGAAAGAAGAAGCAGCTGGAAAAGTTAGACTGCAGAACAGGAATAATTGAACTAAGAAACTAAGGATATAAGATTTTTTTTTACTCCATAGTTTAGAAATAAGCCAGATGATGGTGTTTGATCTACTGTCAGTTCATTGTCATAAACTGTGTGAGAGAATAGAAGTTACCAGATGGTCTGAGTCACAGTGCAGAAACATATTTTTGTTTTTAGGTAAGCTTGAAAGGAGAAGAGGAATTTTGCATGCTGTAAGACTCATGATGAGTTTGCTGTAAAATGACAAGGATGATACCTACAGAGAACTGCACCATGATAGTGATGGGCTGTGGGTCCAGGGAGTGATGGAGCAAGTCTGTCACTGCCCACTGCATTTCCCAGAAACTACAGCAGGACAGAATACTAATTAGAAGTTTGGGTTTATAACTTGTATTGGTGTTATCTTTCTTTGCCTGTGCTTGGGGGTGGGTTGGGGAGTTGGATTGGAAAAGGAAAAAAATTGATTGCCTGTTCTTCCTTATCTCTGCTTATCAATTGCTGAAACTGTGCTTGCCCTTGGTAAGGTCGATAATATGTATCAGGGTTTTCTTAAGTTGGAAAAACCTGTCTCTTTGCAGCATATTATTGAATTCCTGTTTTGGCTGTGGTGTTTCCTAAGTAACTGGGTGTCAAGAAACAGATTTTCTATGGAATTGTAGAGGACCACATTTGGCCCATGAAGCACAGTGATGGATTTTAGTATCCTGTAGAAAAACTGAAGGTAGATCCTTCATGTCAGATGCTTTCTGGTTTTGAGTATTTTCCTACAGAACTGAAGAACAGAGAGGAAATGCATTATCAGTGTACCTTATTTCCCACTATTTCAGCACTGTCTAGGATTTACTGTGGTAGCATAACCAGTGATTAATTAATAGTTTGTAATTTAAAACTAGTATAATACTTTGTGCCATTTACATATATTTTCCAGTGGTCTTCCTGTGCAGTACTTTGCAGAGGAATGCAAGCTTCAAAGACTGAAAATAGAAGAAAAGCAGAACCATTCTACTGGCTGTCAGTGGCAAAGCCTAAGACCAGTTCTGAGATTGTAAATGAAGCCAGAGATGCCCTACAAACAGTAAAAACTCAAAGATTATTCACACCTACAGATGAACAAAGGAAACTTTTTGGGTCTCAATCGTCACAATGTCCTCAAAATAGACGCCCTGTACTTCTTAGGTACTGTGGCTTTAAGATGTTTTCAAATATCATTTAGCAGCAAGAGATTTGATTCTCTAATTATGCTTCTGGTGGTTATTTTCCCTGTGTTAATCTGTATTCCTAGTCACATCCTTTGCCTTCTTCTAATGATCTTTACTGTTGGTGTTATTCTGCATGTCCAGGAAGTTTCTCTGGATTAGAGCTACCAGAGGCAGTCACTACACTACTTTTTTATGTGTAAAATAGTATAAGAAAATAGTCTGTTACTTACCTTTTCTTGAGACAATTGAATGCTTTTAATTGAGATAGTCTTCAGCTTTTTTCCTAGAATATGTGAAAGCTTGCTTGTTTCCTATAGTGTATGGGCTAGATCTTTTTTCAGAACCTTCTGAGATCTTTTAAATGTGAAATTTTAGGTCCTGCAGTTTGAAATGCTCATTTTCAAACAAAGTTTTTGCTACCTCAAAATTATTTATGGTTGGAGTTTTGGTGCCGTGGTGTGCTCTTGTCACTTTTCCTTTCTTCCCTTTCCCCATATTCACTGGCAAAGGGAAGAAGCATGCAATTAAAAAAAACCAGCTGATCACACAACTCTGCATCTGCTTTATTCTAACTATGTTCAATTTCTTCATTAGTCTTGATACATCCAGTTCTGATTTGCCTGAATCAAGACCGAATTCTGCTGTTCGTCTAAGTCCACTGACTCATGTAAGTACTCTGGAAATAACTCATGCACTACTGATATAAAAATATGTGTCTTGGTAGTGTTAGGAAAATAAATGGTTTATAGACATTGGGGGAAAATGGAGGCTTGTTGTAACATTAGTCTGAGACTTATAAAGTCAGTTTTGTCATTTTTCCTCCAAAAGAAACCCAAAAATAATTTAAACTGCTTAACTATTGCTGTATTACTTTGTGACTCAAAGTGGCATTAACAAGAATTGGAAGACTGATACTTGAGTCAGCTTTCTTGTGAAATAGGTGAAGTTCATGAGCGTAAACATGTGCCAACAGCGTGCCCTGGCTGTTAAGAAAGTGGCTGATGGTATCTGGGGCTGCATTAGGAGGAGTGTTGGCAGCAGGTTGAGGGAAGTGATCCTTCCTCTCTGCTTAACACTGGTAAGGCCACACCTGGAGTTCTGTATGCAGTTCTGGGCTCCACAATATGAGAAAGACATGGAGCTACTGGAGAGAATCTGATGAACGTCCCCAAAGGTGATGAAGGGACAGGAAGAGATTAGAATGTTCAGCCTGGAGAAGACCAAGGGAGGACCTTATCCATGGATGTAAATACCGGAAAGGCAGATGCAAAGAGGACGGGACCAGCCTCTTTGCAGCAACTGGACCAGAGGCAGAGGGCACAAACTAGGGCACAGGATGTTTCCTCTGAAACTCAGGAAACAGTTTTCCTGCTGTGAGGTGATAAGGCCTTGGCACAGCTTGTCCAGAGATCTTCAGAAGTTTCTTGGGCATGGTCCTGGGCAACTGAGTTTAGGTGACTGTAGTTGAATACAGGGCTTGGACCTCCAGAGGTCCTTTCCAACCTCATCTATTCTGTGGTTCTGCGAACAGTAACTTGAAGGTAACTAGGTTCCTTTCTATTTGGCTTACATTTCTATAAGATGTTATGATTGTAGTTTATTTCAAAACAGATAGAGGTCTTTTAAGAGCCACTTTTCTTCCTCTGTGAAAGCTGTGAATTGTTTTCAATTTATAAGTGTATCTGCTCTTTCACAGTTTTTTTTATATTTGGTCTTTAAATATAGGATTAAGTCACGACTGTTTGTTCAGTACCCAAGATAACAGAGTGTGCTATAGCAATTAAATGTGCTTACTGTATACATTGCTTTTTCCAGACAGGAACCTTTAGGAAATTCTTTAGGAAATTAGGGGAAATATCCAAGAAATTTTATACTTTAGTAATTTGGATAAGGGAATGTATTTACATGAATCAAGTTTAAAAATTCTGAGCATGCTTCTCTTTAGATTAAGTATATCAACATTTGGATTTAAGAACTGGTGTTAAATTTTCATGTATTTTGTGAGAGTGGAAAAAAATAGAGAAAACTACTGACCAATGCAAAACATGCCTTTTTTTTTTTTTCCTTTATCAATGGCTGTAAATTAATACACTGTAAATTAAGAGTTTGTATTAATTATGGTGGTTGTAAGTAGTCAGTCTCACCTGTTGGCTCCTTAATACTGTGGAGAGCTCTGAAGGATTGGCTGGAGACTTTCTAGTGGATTCTTTATTTTAAAGAGATTGGTATTGATTTTAGAGGTCAGTGCTTTTATGTAGGTCAAGGGCACAGCAAATGCTTGATACTAGAGATTCAGGGACTTGTTCATCTCCTCTAAGGTGCAAGATACTGACATGAAACTAGGACTTGCATGTCTCTGGATCTGCATGATTTGTCTCAGTGTGATAGAAAGTAGTACATATGATGTGAATGTATTTGGAGTGTTTTGGAAATACTGTTTTAATGCTCCAATGCAAACCAAAGAATAGATGTATCTAGAATTGTCAGCAATAGTCATTGGCACAATATTTTCTTTGATAAATAAGCTTGCTGCAGATGTAGTTAAATGAGTACTTAGGAGGAATAAATAATTCTGAGTTCTACTCAAGCTAGGTTTTGTTTTCTGCATCCCCTGAATGTTGGCTTTCTATGGTGATAATGGTATAGACATCTGGTTTGTTTGGTGGAACAGTATCATTAGATTCAGGATATGAAAATTTCTTAATGAGCAAGCCAGTGTAACTTCTGTTCTAGTTTGAACTTAGTCCTTTGTTAGAAGTTATGTGGGTTTCTTTTTCTTTATTTTTTACTTAAATGAAAATTAAATTATCTGTGCTTTTGTTTAAAAGTCTTCTTTATTTTTGTCACAGAAACCAGTAGTAATAATTTCTGAAAAAAAAGATGAAGCTTCTTCTGTTTTCCATCCAACACCTCCTGCTGATGCTGCAGAGGTTAGAAAAGTCAGCAGTGCTTGCAAAGGCTTATTTAGAACACCTTCTCTGAAAGATTTATTTTCTGCTAAGGTGGTTCCTCTGGATCAGAGTAAGAATGTTTTGATGCATATTATTTGCTAGAAAGATAACTGCATGATGGGTTTTAATATTGGTAATTACATGAATTATTAATACATTAAAGGACTTGTGTGTCCTTTCAGTGGGAATTCTGGAAGTATTTAAATAGGTTTAAGGCAGTTTTGAAACTGTGGCTTCCCAAAATTATGCTGGCTTGCACTACTGAAAATGAGTTGAAAACTACTGAGGTGCCTCTTCTTCCTATAGGTTTCCAAGTAATGGAATCTACTGGAAGTTGTCATCAGTGAGTAAAATTAACATTAAATGCTGACATGCTTGAAGAGATAATGAGATGCCATCATCTAAGGAGATTCCCTGACGGATTATTGAGCCTAAAAGGAGGAATAAAAAGAAATTATATGTCTTGACAGGCCTCCAACTACATCATATTTGTTGTTAAGACTTTCATTAGTGGTGATTTAATAAAGGTCACCAAATGTGGGATTTAAAAGTAATTTTCTTGAAGATGGGAAATGGCATCTTGGCTTCCTGCATGTTGGCTCATAATAAAGTGTGCTGGGACTGTATTTCAGAAGACTCATTTATAATGACAGTTCTTATATTGTCCAGGATTGTTATTTACATTATAACTGAATATCTCACTTTTTACCTACTAAACTTTACTTAATTTTTATGTATTTATTCTATAAATATACATTTATATAATGTGTCATTTCATATAACCTTAATAAGCTGGTGTTACTTATTGAAGAAGTTGAGAAGGTAGTGTACTTGTCTCCTGCCTTGGTCTCCTCCCATTTTGGGATCATGGAAATGTTATGTGTTATCTTATTTGTGGAGGTTCTTCTTGTATGTACATAGAAGCTACAGGATTAACAGCTACCTTTTTCCTGAGTTCCTTCATAATATTCAGGTCCTGAAATACAATCACTTTTTTTCTCCAGGTACAATCCACCTATTTGTAAAAGGGAAATAAAGAAGATGAAATATTAAAACTTTAAACACAACCCCAAAAGACTTTAAGAGATACTGTTCATAAGAAGACATTGACTACCTTACTCTCAATAGTCTAAAGCTTTCTCACCTTTTAAATTGATACAAATTTTGTTAATGTAACACAACAAGTAGTAATTAATAACACTTGAACAAAATGCGTTCTCTTTGACTATTTCAGATGGAGTGAAACTTGATTTTGAAGAGCCACCTATGATGATGAACAGTCTTGACAGAAGTAATAATAACTGCTTAGCAGAACAAAAGTTGTACACATCATTTAATGATGAGAGTAGACAATTAATTTGTAATGAACATACCAGCAGATCAGGAAGTGAAGACTCCATGGAAGGAACACCAGGAAACTTTTCACTTCAGCTGCAAGGAGAAAGGTTAGCATTGGTCAAGTATGGTAATGTGCATTTTCCAGACAACCTTCTTCCTAGGTACTCAATTGTGCAAGTATCAAAATGCTTAAAATTAATGATATTTGAAGATAACATTACGTGTGCTTTAAAATGAAATTGTGTTTGGGTTATTAGAAAAATTGACATTTCTTCTTTTAGGAAGTTTCTACATTCAAAAGACAAATTTGTAAAATATTGTTGGTAGAAATTTGTTCAATGTGATTTGTTTGATCATGAACATTTCAAAACCAGGTCCTCAAAGAAATCCTCAAGTAAAATCCTCAAGTTTAAATTTAATGTGCTTTCTTTTGTAGTTTAGTCCTGTTGTTTTAAAGTGCTATACCATCTTCACCTAGCTTGACAGATGAGTAGAGCCATGCTTTCAGTTCTGGTATGTGATCATACACCAAAACCAGTCTAAAACTCTTCAGCAATAGAAGCAGAATTTTTTGTGACTTCGAATTTTTAGGGGTTTTTTTTGCATGACCAAATAGATGTAAGAGATTAATGAGACTCACATGCCTGTAGTCTGTTTTTACTGGACCTGGAATATCATATCCATTCTTTAATTCATAATTAAATAATTTTTCTTTTGATTCAGATGTGAATTCTTGCACAGGGAGGAATAGTCCTGTGGCACTGTATATAGTTGGTGTATCAGTCGCTGCATTAGCAGTCAGATGAACAACTGTTTTGTGGTAATAACATTGACAGATCTGGCAATCTCAGCAACAAGGAATGAAAACCACTTTATTTTCAAAACACATCCTTGTAAAACTTGTTCACTATTAAAAATACGTATTTGACAGTAGATATCTTTTTTCTAGCATGTTTGTATGCTTAGGGAAAAGCTATTTCCCTGGATATTCTTAAGCACCTTTGATATTAAAGATTATGTTCTTAATTTTATAAAATGAAAGGCCTTTCGTTTACTAACTTGATGATAGCACTTAATAGTTTAAGAGAATGTTGTCCATTGAGGCTGTTATAATAAATGATACCTAACAGAGCTATCATAGGACTCTTATATTAAACGGTAAGCAGGACTTCTAAAAAAGATTCTAAAAGAATAAAGACTTGTTATATAGCAAAGAAAAAACTCCATGAGTGTGGAGGAAGAATGAGAAAAAAAGAGCGGAGATGAAAAATGTAGGTGAAAAAAGAAAAGCACCAAAGAGAATACTTTACTGCAATATAATTTTCTCTCTTTAAAATCAGTGATCTAATAACTTCTTAGATAAAGACTAGTTGGATTATCATACTACATAAATTACTGTAGTTTGAATTTTATTTAATAAAGGTGTGGTGTGAAGTACTTCAGTGTTGCAGTGGAAATGGATTGATCCTTTGTGGAATATGCATCCTGCTGTGTTCAGTTCTGCTTTCTGTTTGGGTTGCTGTTTTGGTTGATGGTGTCCAAGTGCCTCTAACAGGAAAGGGTCAGTTGATATTTTTGCTAATTCAAAAGGATGACCTTCCTTCTCAGTCATAATTTTAAGACTTGCGTGTATAATTGAACAGCTAACCCATGAGGCACGCTTCCTGTCTGTTCAAAATTGTACACAGCTCCTTATCAGAACAAGAGCTCTGGAAATTTTTAGTTTTGCATTTTTGTTACTGGTGCTTTTTGCAATCATGAATCTCATACATCAATTAAATTAGATCTCAAATTACTGGCCTTAACATAATACAAGAGACTGCTTTCCAATATTGTTCTGACTGGTTTTCTCCAAAATGGAAGAGAAATATAACATTCCTCCATCCTTCGGTGTTGAATGCAAGATCTGTATTTTTGAATGGCCCATTTTTACCTCTCCTGTGAGTCCTCTTCTGTGTACTCAAGTCGGAGCTGATTTTTGCCAATGCTTAGGAAGCAAAGCTTCCTGACACCATTTAGGTGCTCATATGGCTTAGAGCACCACGGGTATCTGCAATGCTGCAAGATGCACAAGAGTAATACAAAATGCTTTCCCTTTAGCCTCAGACAAAGGTCTCTCATCTGTATCAGCCCAGGCAGTTCATGCCATCATGTGATGGGTGTGGATCATCTCAGCTGCTCTCATAGGTTGTATCTTCTTGCTAAGACCAAACACATCAGTCCAGTGTTTGTGTATGATACTACACAAGTCAGGCAGACCTTGTTCTGTGTGCTTGGGTGATGTCATTCTTCATCTGACACAGCAGTTGAAAGGTACCACAAACCTAGCCTTCCATATAGTTTGTTGAGTTTGGTCTTCATGATAGTTGTATGTAAATAGCTCCAGAACCATATAGGGGCCATTGCAGTGAGAGATTTGGCATTCTTTCTCAGTAGAACATGTCTACTAGATGATTGTAAGGTTAGATTTCATCTGGTTCTGTATCATAAATACTTGAGGCATTTTGTATAGGGTTACAAGATATTTTCTATTTAAAGTACATTGCATTCAGGAGTAATAGGATGAAAGCTTAAAGGAATGTCAAATCTTTTATTATCTAGTGTCCTGTCATTTCCTATATGAAGCAGGTGTCAACCTCAATTCTGTATCACCGTGACTTAAAATCCTTGCAGGAATTAAGCAAGAGGGTTGTAGATATAGTACACTTCATAAACGGAAAGCGTGGGACTTCCTACTCCCCTTTCCCTACAGTTCCTATACATGTACTGAAATAACTTCCCTAATGAAACTGTGTTTCTGCTAATGAGGAAACAGTAGAGCATGGCAAAATAGCATGGCAGATTCCTGCCATTAGTGCTACTATATTTATTTTAAAGACAATAGAAGGGAGATGTTCCATTCCAACAAGAGACTTGATCACTTTCTGTCTCACATTCTTTTGTTGTCTCCAAGACTGAAGAAAAGAATGAACAGTGCTAGTGAAATCACAGCTGCCTTGTAAAGGTACTGGAGGAAAAAAGAAAACTACCTTTTGAGGGGAAAAGCCATTTGCCATTTTGTTTGCAATTCTGTTTTGCAAATAACCTTCTAGATGTAATAGAATAGGTATATTAATTGAAGCAGATTGAACTTATTGACATATTGCCTCAGGAAAGCTAGGAACAATTTCTGGCAATCATAAGGAAGCTCAGTTTTGTTTACATCTTCCTCTAACCATTGTGCCTTGCCATCTATTGTGATTGCTATAGAAGTGAAACTTCTAAAATGTTTTCTGCATTCATATATTTCAAGAGAAGTGTCAACAGTGATGGCAGATTTGCTGATGAAGAGCAACAGTTTCCTGGGTGTGAAAGAATGATGATTTTTTTTTTCCTACTCCAATTTCTCAGTATTCTGAAAGCTTAGATGTCATTCCAGGTCTTCTTAAAAGCAGAGCCTTGAGTGAGGAAGAGTTTGCAGGCAAACAGTTCATTCCCAAGTGGCCTGTTCTTTTTTAATGAGTGAGTTTTATGAAGAGCTACAAAAGGAATAGCAGGTACTGTAAAGAAGATATACTGTGCCCTGTTTCCTCTCACCATTGCTCTCTTTATTAATTGCCTATTTTACCGTATCCTTGAAATCTATTCTTCTTCCATGAGAGTAGTTTCTCTTTCTTGTGCTTTTTTAGAGTTTTGGAATATTTCAATAGAAAATTATAAAAGCAAAGGATTAAATGGTAAAGTGAATCATATATTCATAGAATAGGGTGGGTTTGAGGGAACTGCTGGAAATTACTTCTCTCTGGTTACTTAAACTACCTTCACATCTGTGCTTAAAATATGCACTCTTTCTCTTCAAAGAAAAGGATTCCCACAAAGGAGAGAGATTTTTTTTTTTCCTGAGGGGAACACTTATTCTGTTTTGTTCTGGATGATTTTTTTGAAATTTGTGATACGGTGTGGCGATTGGTTTGAAGTACGGTGTAGCTGACTCTCCAGCATTTTTATCTTTTTCTTTTTTTTTAAATTATGTATATTGACAACTTTTGGAATTCTCATAAAGACAGGGAAACAGAAAATTAACCTGCTCCCAACTAATCGTTATCTATTTCTGCCTCAGTTCCACTGGCTATTTGGACCACTGATTTCAGAAAGAAACAATTGAGTGGTGGGAAATCCTTCATAGGAGGAGCTTTCTACAGTGTTTTCCAGATTGTGGCACCTACTCTTTAAAGAAGGTGCCTGGTTTGGTATAGGGTTAAGGAATACTGAGAGAACACTGGGAAAGAAGAATTCTTTTTTTCAGAACTTGTTACAGACTTCTAAAGAATAGGGTAAGAGTTAACTTTTATCTCTGGTCTCTTAGCTCAGAAAAGAGACAGAGGAGTTTAGGCTCATTTTTACCCTGTACTCTAAAGAGTCTTTCCACTCTAGCGCTTAGTTTTAGGCCAGTGTAATTGGTCTCCAAATCTGGGAGATCTAGGTCTTGAGAGTCCTTAATACCAACTGAATTGCAATTCTGGAATGGGAAAGTGTGCCATGCAAAGGGTAGACAAGAAATGTCAGTTCAGTCTAGGTAGACCTGTAGTAACAATGGATTTAAATTTATTTTCTGTTTAGAAATGCAATGTTTATTCAAGATTCAAGTTAGGAAGATGATGCGGGTGTGGTTTTCAGACTCAAATATATTTAGGCTAATGTTCTAGATACTTTTTATGGTTAGAATTAGACTGTCAATTGTCTGGTTGCCTAAAGATACTCTGTCACAAATAGATACCATTAATATTTTCAATATTAGACAGAATATGCAGAGACTGTGAAGAATAAAAAGGATAAGGATAGACGTTTTTCATCAACCTTGATTATTATTTTGTCATACTGTTTAACATGTGCATGAGGGTCTCCATCAACAGCCTGTATAAATAAGAAATACTGTACTTTTTGTCGCTGCAGTTGTCATAAGAACTGAGTGAGCTATTCCCATGATTGTGTTTACAGGATTGTTATTTACTCATCTTTAGGATGACTCAGAGAGTGGGTCTATTTGTCAATATATTTTTACAAATTATGTTGTCTTTCTACTAGTTATATTTTCTCATATCAGTGGTATCAGTTATATAGTTGATTA